GTACTGTATAGTATGGTGTGTTGTGTTGTATGCATGGTAATAACAGGTACAATTCGAGCGGGTTTTTTTTTTTTTTTTTAATCTTTCGCTTCAATTTTTATGGCGTCATCACCTTTATATTACGTTCGTAAAATCGGGGTTCGTAAATAAGGGGTTCTACTGTACATATATAAAGTTTAGTGCAATAAATTAGATTTCAAAAATGTTGACATCCCAGCATGTTTTGGCCATTATCTCTGAAACAGGATTTGCAACAGGTGACTGGTATGGCTTGTCATAGGCACATATATCAGTACATCATGATTAAATATGGGCATACAACTTGTCTTCTGTCAAAGAGAATTTGATAGTGTTAAGTCATCATACGTTAAGGTTAGGTGGCAGTGGCACATTAAATCATCATACGTATCTATATTGAACCTTTCTCCACACTGTCAAATTTTATGTGACAAATACACGTGTATATTATTTGATCACACCCATACATGGGCAATCACAGATATTTTCACAGATAACCTGTTAGTGTAGGCAGAATACAAAATGATGATGTGGGAATCAATTATTGTTGCTTGGTTCAGTGCATCAACATTGCCAGCAAACACATCTTGCTTTGAACAAGTTGACACAAATATAGTATTTGGTAGTCTGAACAGGGCTTCATGTAGCATTTGAAGGAAGATTTTCAAGGAAATAAAAAAAATCATGAAAAAATTATTTCCATCAGTTAATATTCATGAACAATCATTTCAGAAAACTAATATTCAGGAATACTTTAGTTTCAGTTTACTCACGTTTGAATATTCTCTTGATATTGGGCACTGTCAGATGGTTGGTTATATAGAGGCTGTAATGACAGATAAAAGTGTGAAAAAAGATTTAATAAAAAAGTCATGATAGCCAATTAACCATGACTACAAAGCAATATTTGTTATGCAGTAAGAAAAAAAAAAAACAGATCTAAACGCTCCTGGCTTTCAGTTCAGTATTATGACAGAATAAGGATAAAGTTAACATAAAAACATTAAACATATATATTCAGTCAAAGAATAAATTTGTTGGATCAGTTGAAGGTTCTTCATTTTGACAAAACTCATGCTACAAGGAGACAGCAATATCTCTTAAGCCTGCCTTTCAATCCTTGGTTGGCTATGACACAGCGTACAGCCACATTAATTCATACCTACTCACTGACCATGAGAACGAACTGTACACATCATGAAGAGGTAATCTAGTAACAAAGCTACCATTAAACACTCAATAAAACAAAACAAAAACAAAACTTACCAGATCATTTTTGGGCCCAAAATTAGACAACAAATTATGAGATTCTTCAGCTTTTCTCTGCAATGAAACAAAAAAAAAATTAATCACTTAGAAGCATCAACAAACTTCATAAATCATGAATTACTAATACTCTACACAATACAAAACATAAATAATTTGAGCATAGATAATAATTCTGTCAACATATTATATTGTTAATAACATGATCCAATTCATTGAAAATAAAAGTGTAAAAGAAAAGATAAAGAGAAGAAATAGATGAGTCTAGAATAATCAAAGGATAGAGAAGATAGAAGAAATAAATGAGTAGAGAATTAATTGAACATTCCCAATTTACTTTAATATAATTGATTAAATTTTGCATTAAATCATGGAGAAATATTATTAGGAAACAAAGACTTCATTTGCTGGCTAACTAGCTATAACTGCATGTATACATATCCATAAAAAAAAAAAAACTGGTGGAAGCTGTACATAAAACCATGGAGGTATTATTGAGATCACCGAAAAAGCTCAGCGCATGCAGCACTATGCAAATAAGCTAAGAACAAAGCTGCTGCAGCGCATGAAGAACGTTTACGCGATGGCTTTAAAGTTTAATGTGTTCCGCACCACCAACTGTTCCGCCGGCTTTAGTTTACCAAAAAATTAAACATAGTGAAATGGAGAGCACCTTCTTTTCTCAATGCGCACTACTTACAGTCAATCACTATGGCTGCGTAATCGCTTCCACATTTAAGCTAATACATTTATCTTTCCAGAAATACCAAATATATATATTTTCTACAAAAAAAGTTTCAAATTAAAAAAAACATATACATGAGCTTTAAAAGTATGGTTAAATTTCCATAAATTGGATAAAACTTGATAATTCTAATTTAACAGATATTAATTAAGGAATGATTGAGGATAAATACTGTAATCATTTTAAGATTAACAAAGGTTTTTCAAAAATTCAATCCAAAGTCTGAGTAATTTTCAGTTTTACTCCGCCTCCGCTTTATTGTGAAATACAGTCTTGGAATCTTCAGACAAAATTATAATGAACACAGAACTAACTACAACAGAAATATTTTGTGGAAATCTGTTCCTGAAATATACACATAATAACATACTAAAAGTCATAAAAATCCGATCGGGAACATTGTTGTTTTTAAAGATATCTAATGAGTTACCATCAAACATTGCACAAAAGGCCAGAGCTCAATTATATACTCAAAATTAGTAAAGGATAAACATTTAAACCTGATGAATCATCTTATTTCACAATCCCAATCATTTCCCTTTTTCAAACATAAACAAACATCCATAATGATAGCTGACAAAGTGAATTAATTTTCTCAACCTCCAAGATATTATCAGAGCATCTACAATGTACTGACATTCTAAATATCTCCTTCAGTAATAAATTATAGGTGCCAGCAGAAATATATTTAACACTGTGTAATGTTATAATCATAAGCAAGATGCCAAATACCTGCCCATAATTTAAAGGTGTGCCAACTCAAATGATGCACATCTAAAAATCCCTGTTGCCAAACTAAATTTGACAACATACAAAAGTTAGTAAGTGTTCACAAATACCAATTTGCCAAAGCTGTAATGTTTAAGAAACTTCTCATTAAAACTATATTTTTGTATAGAACTAAAAATAAAACAAAATAGAATTATTTTGTTTGCATGTTGTTATCTTTCAGTTGAAAAGTATGGGAAAATAATTTTCTCATCAATTAACAGATATGTATAAATTACTACTGTAAGTTCCCATAATATTTGCAAAGACCTTTGAATTGACTGGTAATTAATTAATGATTTAAAAGGTCTGTAAATCACACAAAATGAACTGTTTTAATCTTATTGGATAAAAAAATGTACTTGATCATTACAACTGGAAAAAATAATTTTCTCTATTGTGAAAAAACCCCCCAAAAAACAATGGAGTGAATTTTGCATGTTACTAATTAATCATATTGGTATTTGAACATGATAGCATTTCACAGAGTTGTTTTTTTCATTTATTAAATGAACAAGCTTAATCCAACCTAATCTGTTATGTCGTCAAATTGCCATCCAGCATAACCTAGGTAACCTAAGCTGTTAGTAATAACCTGGCCTACATACAGTATTAACCATCTAGAAATCTGGAATGAATTTCAGGTCATCTTACAGATTGCAGTTAATATTTTTCTCATAATGTCAAAACTAATGTAAATTCTTTTTCTTTGCCTATCTAACACACCCTATAACTTTATGAGGTGGTTCTGATTAAATACTTTTCATATTGTTTAATTCTAAATGTATCTTCAATTCTATTCCATTTGCTAATGTTTTCAGTTACAGTACATAACATATTATATCTTTTCTTAACTTACTTCTGTTTTATATGCTGGGAATTCATTTAATTAATATTTTTTATATTTTTCTCTCATGTACACTCTTGCAAATTCTCGTTTTACTTATTCATTACAATATACAAACAAATTTGAATTTAA